TTTTTTGTTTAAATTGTTGTTTTGTTTTTTTTTTGTTATTGTTGTTTTGTTTTTTGTTTTTGTTTATTTGTTTATTTGTTTATTTTTTTTTTTCTCATATATTGTCTTTTTTCCATTGGCTCTTTTCCCTTTCTTCCTACTTCTGGTTGTTAGCCTCTTCTTAGCGGGGTTCTGTGATTCACATATTTCTTATACAATATATAAATATAATAAGAGAAAGTCGTTGCTTTTCTTTAACTTTAACTTTCATTTTCGCCTTCTGTTTATTAATATACTGACTAATGGACGTTGCAGTATTCGTAGAGTTACAGTAAATGCTGATCGTTAACGGCGATCTATGACCCTTATTATCCAGGAAAAACTTTGTATTCCTTCAAATTGGTTACAAGACACTGAGCTACGAATTACAAGAGCAGACGGTGGGATTTGGAATTGAAGCCCTATTTGGTATGAGCTATTTTTAAAACTGCTTATTTTATATTCAGGCCAATTTTTTTCTTTTATTGATCGCCAAGCTGAGTACGCGCACTACATGTTATAATTTTTAGTTTTGAAGTCTTTCTGACCTGGGTTCAATTCTTTGAACGAAGGGGTGTATTTCAGGCGGAGGATTACCTCTTACACTTGAAAAAGCGAAGCTAAAATACTTCCATGTTTTTATGTATCATCATCAAAGTTTTTTGTATTGAAAGTCTCGACTAAACAAAATACATCGTTTGAACAACCTACTTACATTTTATATTGGCGACGGCCATGCATGCAGTTTTTTAAAGATATGAGGCAGCTTATTGCTCTGCGATGGACCTCATCTTTGCCGTAAATCAAGTTCTAACTTTAAGCAGTTTGAGTTTGAGTGAGATAAATGCCAGCAACCCCGCCTTTCCAATAGGTACATTAACAACAACAACAACAACTTTATTTTTTGCATAAAGATACAAAAGTTGGATAGTTTACCCGCATATAGCTGGAAAGCTAATCGTGGCGGGGCAAGACAGGTACATGAATAACACAATTATCTAATAAAAACAAAAACCTTAAACTATTAGAAAGCCTTGCAGATTTGCAACTAAAAATAATTAAAGCACAGAAGTTAAGTGATCTAATTAACACAAGGCTTACTGACGTACAATGCATTAAGACAAGGAGTCACTGACTCTTAAATGATAACACAGGAAAAGAAAAGCAGACATTAAAACCTTTAGCAGGTGTATCTATGGACCTACTTTTTTATAATCATGGGGATTATATTATAGTCATCCTCCTTTTCTATAATTAGATATCAAATAGCAATTTGAGGAGAACTATTTAGAAATCGTTCTTTTTAACGTCCGATATATTTAGTGGTATCTTACCACAGCTTTACTCCGAGCCGAGAGAGAGAGAATTGTTTTGTATTTCTAGTCTAGAACTTTTAACATTGAATTCGAAGTTTCCAGACGTAGACGATCCTGCATCGTATGAGTGAATATTAGAAGTATTGTGAGGAATACAAAAGTTTGTGTTTCTTTATATAGCTCATCACTCTCGGTACTTTATCTTCAATACCTGCAAACTAATTCAATCTTTTTCTTTTGGTTTTTTTGTTTTTAGGTGAAATTGGCGGAAATATGGGTCTCTTCCTAGGCTGCAGCCTGATGACAGTATTCGAGTTTGCTGATTTTCTTGTGGCTTTGATTTATGTTCGAAAATGGCGTAAAGAATATCAAACATAAAATTCCTTTTAAGGCATTATACTATACTTTACTTTTCGAAAAGGTAAAACGATATTGATTTACGACTCTTAAAAAAAGTTAATAAAATAAGTCATCAAGCGGTGGTGCTGAGATCGTTTGAGTATAAAGGGGAAATAGTTACAAGAATCAATAAAATGCAGTCGTATTTCACAAGACACAACGAACCGGAAGTCCAAACAAAAAAAATAGATTGTTTCATCAATTGATATAGCAAGCAATTTGGAAATAAATCACATTCTGATAAGCTGGAACCTTTTAATAAGGACATACGTACATTTATATGAAATTATTAGACTTCTAACTAAAAGACCTTAAATTATTTAACAAGGTTAAAATGACTTAAAATGACTAATATTATGAACGCGCACTGAGAGGTTTTTACAAGAGTCTAAATTCCACTCTGTGATTGTCTATACAAACTATAATTTGTGTGGTAGCCTGGTGTTGTCAATTAGCAAGCCCAGACCTACTACCTATGTACTATACTGTTTTTCATATTATTCCGCCAAGCAATGGAATGCTCTTCCTGACGAATTATGGAACATTTAATGGCGTATTTTCAGAGAAGAGTACAAAGTCTTTATACGTTTGCTGCATTTGGGTTGCTATACCTTTTGATTGAGTTATTTTACATTGGTATGCCTATGGTGCAAAAAGACAGAAAAAAAAACTAAGAAAGAAAAAGAAAAGAAAAGAGAACTTCCAAAAGTTCCTTAAAAAGGTTTCTTGGTCAGGAATGCAGTCCTAAGATCTTATTACAGTCGACTCCCGATAACTCGAACCCTCGATAACTCGAACCAAAATCGATTTCCCCTGGATTCGCCCATACATTCACTGTAATTTTACCCTCGGTAACTCGAACCCTCGATAACTCGAACTCCCGCTAACTCGAACCAATTTTCGTTTCCCCTCAGGTCATTTTCTATATAATTTTACCCTCGATGACTCGAACCTTGTTTTGAACCCTTTTGATTTCCCTTGAAGGTTCCAGTTATCGGGAGTCGACTGTATTCAGCATGTGTGCTCGTACTCTCTTTGGTGAAATGTCGGACGAGTGATTCTGGGCACGATAATGGCTACTCTGAAAGAGTCCTTGTTAATGTATAATCTAGATGAATTATTACAGAATTTTAGTCATTTCGGGACACGATAGGATTTGTTACATGAAACCTAATTTCTCCGAGTTTTTTGAGAGTCACTTTCAAATTCCTTTTTATCTAGTAAGCTTGTAACATGTCCGCGTGCATGATACTCGAATTGTATTGTCACAAAGCGGTTTCTAGAAAAGCAGAAATGTTTACAAACGTCATCGAAAATAGCAGGTGTCGTTTTTACCTATTGTTACATGTTGGGGCCAATTGATTTTCTTACTTTTTTTGTTGTTGTTGTTTTTCTGTTTGTTTGTTTCTTTAAAATAAATTACCGCCGAAGTTTAGAGTGGTCACATTCCAAAACAATTGTCAAGGCACGACAAAATAATATCGGCGAGGAAAATGTAGGGAGGGCATGGAGCTAACAGGACAGATCATCAGTATAGCCTTCCTTGCCTCTCATGCCAATTTTTGAAGCCCAATTTTGTGTACAAACGATGCTATTCTTGTCCATCGAAGAGCTTTTTACAGCAATCAAAAAATAAAAACAAAATTTAATTGGCCAGCAACTCTATTCCCTATATGTCTTTCGTGCTGTTTCATATTCAAAACGGTGGGAATCGACTGACAATAAACTACCCTAAATTGTTGGTGTCGCTTCATTGATTTGGATTCATTTGCAAGAACATACGCGTTTAGCTGTCGCATTTGACCACTGGAGTTTTTATTGTTTTAAGGCTAAAAAATAATGAAAATTCCAAGAGGCAAATGCGACAGCTATACGGGTATGTTGCAAATGAATCCACCCTCAATTTATAATATTCTTCTTTTCACGTCATTAACTGAATTAAAAATTCAGACCTAATAGAATGGTTCATTGCCATAACAATTTGAACGCCGTCCGTGACTTGCGCCTTATTAGCTATAGTAAAAATTATTCATTAAAAGTAGAAAAAGAAATACTTGGATTGCGGACCTGTTGGGTCGATAATTGCTTGCACATTTTACATTAAGTGCGAGAGGTAAGTTCGTTATCAGATGTAGGCTTCCTTTTGTAATACATTTTCGATATCAAACTGAGAGAAACTTGTCATAATGAAATTGAGCCTGATAAATGTATATTTACAATTATATTTCTCAAAACATTAGGACCAAAAAGCCATCATGTTTATATGCATGCCAACAGTCAAAGCAGCCACCGGACACACTCGGGATTCCGTACAAGTAAATCTCTTCTGAATAAGAACCCCTGTTAACCTTTTCAGCCGAAGCGTGAATGCCAAATTATGATCTTTCTGTACAAGATTAGACCTAATTACGAGCATATTATTTCCGGGACCTCAAATACACGGCAGAAGAGATTGAGCGCCGTTCTCTTCAGGTGAGTTAATGTGAGTAAAGTTTTCATGGCTAAAACTTCAATTTTCTTGCCCCATGTAGGGCAATCCCGATCCGTCCGAAAAGCGGAAAATTTTTGCTTGTGGACACCAGAATCCTGGGATTTCGAATCCATATATCAGCTCAAAGAATCCGGAATCCACAGCGTGGAATCCAGAATCCAAGATGGTCTTAGATTACTTACACTAGGCGACTTTTCACTGTGTAGTAAACATGTCGCTGTTCAATAAAAATGTGAGATTTTCAAAGAAAATGATGAATATTTGAAGTCAAGGATATGTATAAAATCTATATTGTAATGCTAGTACGCAACCCTTTATGCCAATTTTCTTCATTCATTTGTCGAGGCGAACTATTCCGTTAACCAAAAGCGAAAGTTTAACCAGCGAATAGACTTTAAAAAATACCAGGTTTTTTGTTTTCATTCTTTTTACATTTATTTTTGAAAACTGAGGAAGCTGCTATTGCTTTACAAATTGGCTCACCCCACCAAATATATAAAGGACAGTAAAATTCGGCGACTTTTTGCGGAGGCATATCTTCCGCAGTTTTCAACAAATCACGTTCAAACTGATCTTCTTTACTAATTTTAAGGCGTTCTCTCCAGCCGTGCGCGTGTGTGGACGGCTGTTTTTCACTAACTGGTCCCAGTCAAAGGTTGAATAAACTGTGAAAGTGTCCATTCTCATAAAAATCTCTCTTTTGTGACGTTGCAAAATTAAAAAGTGTATTTTTGACTCTGATACATTTCTTGAAGCGATGAAAAATGTCGGAGAGAGCGGACTACTGTACGAAGAACCAGGTCAAAAGTGGGGAATAAATAAAACAACGCTGGTGGACGACCAAGTGCGTGCCGCTGTAGAAGAAATGGCCAAGTATAGTGTCATTCACATAAGGGTTGCATGTCCACACTTGGTAACCGACAACCTGTGCCTGAGTTCCGGCAGAAAGTGGTGTTGTCTTCGCATCTTTAGTACCCGATTTGTGTCTGTGTACATACTCATTTCATTTTGCCCTGTCAGCCGCCATTTTGAAACACGAGCTTTAAGAAGCGATTACAACGCATTATCACTGCCCCAGATTTAACTTAAACTGTGTGGACACAGGGACCCGGTGCCTACGTTTGTGCCCGAGTACAAGGTCCCGACCTAGTACTCGGCACCAACACCGTGTTCGAATTCTATGGGTACTTGAAATAAAGGTGTGTTCACCCCAGCCAGTACTCGAGCATCGTGCCCGCGCACCAACTGTGAACGCTGCCATTGATGTGAACTGAAAGTCAACATTGACAAACATTTTCCAAAACAAAAAGCAAACAGAAATAAATCGTTTGTGCGAGGATCCTCTTTGTTTTTTTTTTTATTATTATTCCATAGTCGGCAGACTGACCTTTAATGAGCCACTCGCGCTGTTTCACCACCACACCCCAGTCATTTAATTTATAATATGCATTTTTTTGTCTCACGATTTTCGATTCCTATCGGAAGTAAGAGAGCAAGAGGAGCCTTATAAAATTTTTGCCTGTCGAAAGTTACGTTTAATTAGGGTCGGATGCTGGGCAACATAGGAACTCTACAGAAATGCTAATTTCAGGGCGAACAACGTAGGCGAAGCTAAAGTGAAAAACTTTATCCATTTTCCATCATAAGACAGACTAAACAGATTGTCTCGGTACCAAATATTAGAACTCTTGCAACTAATTTTTAAAAATCCAGTGCGACTTTTTCAATTTTAACAAACATGTTTCTACCGACGGTACATCCCTTGTCGTCAGTGGGACGGTTATGAAAGTTTACAGCTGGTAAGACGTGTCTGTTACAAAGTAAAGTAATACGCGCTACCTAAATTTAAAGTTAACAAAATTATCAGATTCGGGTGCAACTAAGTTTTAAACTAAAGTGGTCGAATATTGGTCAAAATAGCGTATATTCAAAGATGAAAGATGGCCGTGAGTTTCTTGTCAAAAACAAATAAACTGCTCCTCCTATCGAATATAGCACGCATTATAAAACGCCGCGAAGCTGCTGAGCGAGCGGCCAAGTACGCCAATATATGGGGTGCGCTTAGTGCAGTTTTAATCGGGCTATGTTTTTAAGCTAACGTTGACATTAATTGTCATTAATTTTCTGCGTGTCTTCTCTGACAGCTAATAAACTGACGTTTGCTCACCAGTTATTAGCTAATGTTCGTTTACCTTTGAATAATTCTGTTAAAAAAAAAAAAATTTTTCAATGGTATGAGGTAAATTTGACCTCGATAGGGTAAATTTATACTATTTGTTGAATCTAATAAAGTTGTAAAAAACGTGACTGAGTGCATGGCTTTTAAATATAGGCCTTCATACGGAGACATGTAATTTGTAAACTGTTTTCACGCTTTTTATTCCATATTTTTATAATGAAAAAGTCTTTTGGTATTTTAATCTGGAGTTTCCAGGTGTTTCGGTTCTAAACCAGTTAATGAAAATCCCAGATACGGTGGACATATATCAAAACTCTTACCATGTCAAATGACAAAAATGATAGAACTGATTAAAATAAGGCCAGAAATGCAAATAAGGCCATAAAATCGTTAAAACCTTTTTGAAAATTGTAAACTATACACTAAGACACATTGAAAAAGGACTGAGGTTAGATATAAGTGAATTACATCAGTGTTACATGAATTCAAACCTAATGGCAGAACTCTTATGGTTCCTTGTTATAACAATTTGAACGCTGTCCGTGACTTGCGCCTCATTTGTCAATATTCCTAAAAAGTAGAAAAGAAATACTTGGATTGCGTGCCTGTTGGGTCGATAATAGCTTGCATATTTTAAGTGCAGAGGTAAGTTCGTTATCTAGGCTTCTTTTTGTAATACATCATCGATTTCAAACTGAGAAATACGAGAAATAGAAACTTACGATAAATGTTCAAAATCCGTCTACTTGCTTTCTGCTCTAGTTCAACTACTGAGCACTCTTATAGTCGATGAGCACATCACTCTTTGGTACTTTGTTATATTTACAATTATATAACAATTATAAAACATTAGTACCAAAAAGCTATCATGTTTATATGCCAATAGTCAAAGTAGCCACCGGACAACTCCTGTGCCTACGTTAACACTCAGATTCAGCCGAAGCGTGAATTCCAAATTATGATCTTTCTGTACAAGATTAGACCTAATTCCGAGCATATCATTTCTGGGGACCTCAAATACACAGCAGAAGAGATATAAAACAGATTCATGATCTTTTCATTATCAAGTACAGCCGATGTTGCCCAGTATTCGACCGGTACCATATCATGATCCGAACTATGAAAAAATAATCACATTTTTTGTGTTGCGCTTTTTATAACTTTTCGGCAAAGGAAGCATTCTGAAATGAAGGCGAACATTTTAGTTTTAATAATGAAAGTTTTGACCGGCCTTTAGCTTGATCGAGAGACAAATGGAGAAGGGGCCGTTCTGTTCAGACTGAGTTGATGTGAGTGGGGTTTTCATGGCTTAAACTTCAATTTTTCAATTTCAATTTTTTTATTCAAATACATTGTATCTTTATTGACTTAGTATTTTTATTGTCATGCGTTTTATACATGAGCCTCTGTCTTGGGTGATCCGGGCAACCCCATCGCACGTATTGACGTTATTAAATTGATTGATTGATTGATTTTCTCGCCTCATGTAAGACATGAAATATCCTAATCCGGGAACTGAAAACTTTTGCTTGAGGGCACTGGAATCCTGGGATTTCGAATCCATATATCACCTCAAAGAATCCGGAATCCCGCTACCGATTGGAATTTTGGAATCCAAGTTCAACCGACAAAGAATCCAGAATCCAAGATGATCTTAGATTACGTTACACTTAGCGACTTTTCACTGTGCAGTAAACATATCGCCGTTCTCGCTGTCCAATAAAAATGTGAGATTTTCAAAGAAACTGTTGGATATTTAAAGTGACGAATTTATTTTTTCCTTGAATAACAAAAGCCATAAACAAAATTTCGCCAAATATTGACTTTAGGTGCCCATCATGGAACCAGTTTTTTCTTGGCTTTTCCCAATCGTTGTCGTATAAGCTACGAACACTGTACGTGTAAAACTCAGTGATTTCGTCTAGAACTGTAGCTTAGGATACATGTATGTGTAAAATCAAGGGTGGTGAAATCTATGATGAAATGCCATTACGAAACCGTTTATGGCAATTTTCTTCAGCATTCATTTGTCGAGGCGAACTACACCGTTAACCAAAAGCGAACGTTTAACCAGGGAATAGACTTACCAGGTTTTTTTTAAAAACTGAGGAAGCTATTGCGTTACAAATTGGTTCGGCACCTCCCCAAATATACAAAAGACTTTATAATTTGGCGACTTTTTGCGGAGCCATATCTTCGGCAGTTTCCAACAAATCACGTTCAAACTGATCTTCTTTTAATTGATCTTCTTAACTGATCTTCTTCTAATTGTAAGGCCGGTTCTTCCCAGCGATGTTGATGGTTTTTCGCTAATTAAACTGGTCCCAGTCAAAGGTTGAATAAACTGTGGAAGGGTCTATTCTTATAAGAATCTTTCTTTTGTGACGTCCCAAAAAGTGTATTGTTGACTCTGATACATTTCTCGAAGAGATGAAAAATGTCAGAGAAGGCGGAATAAAAACGAAAACCCAGGTCAAAAGTGGGGAATAAAGAAAACAACGCTGGTGGACGACCAAGTGCGTGCCACTGTAGAAGTAATGGCCGAAAAAAGCCATTCACATAAAGGTTGCATGTCCACACTTGGTACCCGATAACCAGTGCCTGAGTTCCGGCAGAAAATGGTGTTGTGTTCGCATCTTGAGTACCCGATTTGTGTCTGTGTATATAGTTATTTCATTTTACCCTGTAGATGCCATTTTGGAAACATGGCTTAAAGTAGCGATAACAAAGCATTTCACTGCCCCAGATTTAACAAAAGCTGTGTGGAGACAGGGACCCGGTGCCCAGTTTGGAGCCCGAATTCTAGCGTGGGTATTTGAAAAGTCTGAAAAGTGTATGAACGAGAGCTTCACAGCTAGTGTTCGCTAAATCCATGTATTAATATGTATTATTTTGTCTCACGATGCTTGATTCCTATTCGATGAAGGAGCAAGCTGAACCATATACAATTTTTGCCTGCCGAAAGTTACGTTTAATTCTGGTCGCATGCTGGGCAACAAAGGAACTCTACAGAACGGCTAATTTCAGGACGTACGCATTTATCCATTTACCATCATAAGACAGACTAAACAGATTATCTCGGGACCAAATATTAGAACTCTTGCAACTAAGTTTTAAAAACTAAAATGGTCGAATACTGGGCAACATACCGTATACCCAAAGATGAAAGATGGCCGCGTGTTTGTTTTGAGCAGTATCATGAGTTTCTTGTCGAAAACAAACTTCGAAATACTCGGAAGCATAATAACAGTAGACCCGTCTTCCTCTTAGAATTGAAGATGGAGGAAACAAGCCCTAGAAGAATTGAAAATAACTGGACTTCAGGTGAGGAAATTAGAAAAAAAGTCATTGTACGATATGCAATGCTGTCTAGCCTGACTCGTCTCCAGTCTACTCTTAACATTTGCAGGCGGTCATGGAATGGTCGCGGGGGACTATTACGCGCATCCCTCTTTAATATTTAATTAGCAGACAAAAGAGACGACTTGGGACGACTGGTGATGCTGCTTCCTTTTGTACAACTACAAGACCAGGTGTACCTCTTATTAGTAAAATCCAACTAGTGGTCTATTATCAATGCTGCTTTTTGATTGGTTGAGCTACTACTAGGCTAAATGTTATAGCCCACTAGTAGCGAAGATCGCCGGCTTTTTGGCTGCTAAAAGGGATTAAAGTCTAGCTTTAACTCTCAATTATTCCTCTCGCCCTCATGGCCTCTGAGTCAATAGCCCATTCGGCCTTCGGCCTCATGGGTTATTGACTCATATACTCGGGAGCGAGAAATAATAATATTGTTAATTAGCCGGTTTCAAGATCCATTATGTAAATTACGGACCGAGTTTCCGTAATCTACAGTAGGGTCCGAGAAAACGAGGCTATAAGATATTTGTTATGTGGCTTCCTGTTTGGGGGACCGGAAACAATTGCAGGACAGGTGATTTGACGATAATTTTAAAGGCGTCAGAAAAAAAAAAAAAGTTTACTGGATCACCAAAACAACAGCAAATCACAAATGCAAAGAGCTCATTTAAAAACATTTATTCGATCAAAACTAAGAGCTCTGTAAGTTTTAGTTTGCCAATGTGACGCAGCTGTATTTTAAAAAATAGACCTTGTGTCTGGCTCGTACATTTACGTTTGGAGTTGCTGTCCTTACACTAAGTTATAGATGTAGGTTTCAAAACGTTCTTCTTGTATCTGTTAAGTTTTTCCCGTCTTTAGCCCGCGCGGGACTGGTAGAACAACTACGTCATTTATATGTCGTTGTAATATTATGGTCTGGGACATGTGCTCGCTCGAAAATCTTGAGGTAAAGTTCTAGTCGAGTTCTGTTCGTTTACACGGCCTAAAGTCTTTTCACGTTTCCTTCGAGCCTTCAAATCCTGTAAGTATGTTGTCGCTAAGTATTTTCATCTTTCTTCCTTTTATTCACACTCGTTTTGTTTTTCGTTGTCTAACCAGATCCTTGTAACGAATCTTTGGTCCGAATCTCCTTGGAATAAATTCATATGAACATTTAAGTCTACATTTGCGTTAGAAGGATGTGCTGGTTTCGCTGTGGATCGTCTTGGATTTTCGTCGATTGTGCCATGAATATATCCGTTCTTTGATTGATTGGTGTTATCGATAATTTGTTTCTTCGCTTGTGGATCGATTGTAGAGTAAGATGGACTTACGTGGGTTGAAAACCAAAACTGTCGACGTCGATGGAGCCGTTCACGAGAGAATTCTTCGCTTAAAGCGTAGTAGGTCCGGTTCAAAGGCGGCCGTCACCAGAAGACAGCGCGAATTACTTGAGCTAATGAAGAGCTCTGACAATGTTGATCAGGTTAGAGCGAAGTTTCTTGATTTAGAAGTAGCTATGAGACATTTTAACGAAGCACATGATAAGTATCACGCTGAGTTGACTGATGAAAGTGCAATTCGGGACTCGATCGAGTATTTTGAATCAGTGAAACGTATGGGAACTGCGGTGTTTCAGTCATTTGAGGTCTGGTTGCAATCTGCTCAGTTTAAGCTCCAAGAAGAATTAGATCTTGCCATCAGTCTTCATCCGGAAGACTCTATCAGTAATATTAGTTCTACGAAATCGAAGTCTGCTGCAAGTTCTAGGAGGCGCAAGTCTAAATCTAGCGCTAGTTCCAGTCTCTCACAGTCAAGCACCGCTTCAAGTGCAAGGCTGAGAGCCTCTGCTAAGAAAGCTGCCTTGTCAGTGGAAGTAGCTGCATTGAAGACACGCCAGGACATTCAGTTAGAAGAACTCTTGTTGAAGCAGAAGAAAGAAAATTTTGAGTTGGAAACTAAGTTAGCAAAGGCCGACGCTGAAGAAAAGGTGTACAGTTATTGTGAGGAGCGACGCCTGTCAACACTGTCAAGTCAGTTACCGACTTTACATGCAACCAAGAAGGAGAGCACCGTGGATATGCCTGAAGGCCAAGAAAGTCACACACTGACACTAGCAGGTCAATTTGCAACTTCCACTCCAGGTCAAGTCGAAGAGAAGGAAACTGTGGAAGCTCCAGTTCATCAGACAGAGGAAAATCAAGAGGTTAAATGCAGTCCACTAAACCCAGACGCCCCTGTATGGAAAGGTTACGGATGCTCACCCTCTGCGATTAATGGTGAAAGTGCTGAAGGTGGATTATTGGAACAACACCTAGATCTAAGTGACAAGAATGTCAGTCACGTGATTGAAGTCCAGAAGATGCAACAACAACAAAATCAACAGCTTCAGGAATTGCTGAAACAGCACCAGCTTCAAACATTAGCCATGACATTGCCACAGCCTGAAATCTCTGTGTTTTCGGGTGATCCTGTTGAGTACTCTGACGTCGTGCGAGCCTTTGAAAATTTAATAGAGTCAAAGACAAGCAGCCCGAACTCACGTTTGTACTATCTCGTTCAATATACATCAGGAGAAGTGAAGGAGTTAATGCAAAGCTGTTTATCGATGGATCCCAAAGAAGGCTACAAGACTGCAAGAGCACTCCTTAAGGATAGATATGGTCAAAGCTACAAAATAGCAACTGCCCTCATTGATCGAGTAACAAAAACTCCTCAGATTAAGTCAGATGATGGTCCTGCTTTTGCAAAGGTACTCAGTTGTACTTACAAGTTGTAAGAACTCTCTCAAGGAAATTGGATACCTAAACAAAATTGAAAACCCTGACACTCTCCAAAGGATCATTGGAAGGTTGCCACTTTGGCTAAGACAGAGATGGAGAGAAAAGGCTGATTACATCAATGAAGAGCTGAAAAGAGAGGTCACTATCGGAGATGTTGCAGAATTTGTTGAAGCAAAGGCTAGAATAGCCAACCATCCAGTGTTTGGGGACATCCACTCGAATGATGACAAGAACAACGCTGTAGGCATTGGTTCCAAAAGAAGGTACAGAACACCATCAAAGGAGCACAAAGGTTCTGCTTTCACGACACAAGGAACCACCCCGGAAAGTACTACTGACCCACCTAAGGACAACACTGAACGTGCGCCTGACAAGTCGAACGTCAAGTGCCCATTGTGTAAGGAGAGTCATTGGCTGTCACGCTGCCAGCTTTTCAGAGGAAAGTCGGTTGATGAGCGAATTAGTTTTGTGCGTAGTAGAGGACTGTGTGATAATTGTCTTGTTGCGGGACACATGGCGATGTCGTGCCCCAAGAAAAGCTTCTGCCAGATTGTCGGATGTAAGATAGGTCATCGGAAACATTCTACGTTCTTACACCCAAAGAATGACAAACCAGTCAAAGCACCAACTCCATCAGTATCTGAGACCCAGTCGAGCAACACGGAGAATGAGAATCAGAATGGCCAAGCCCGAAGCTGTTTCACTGAAATGGTAGCATGTGAAGGAGTGTGTAGTGCGACTGGGGCCGGAGCATCAGCTACAGGACTTGCCATAGTTCCAGTTAATGTCAGAGCCGAGGGAAGGGAGAAGATGGTTCAAACCTACGCTTTTCTGGATCCAGGGTCGAACACTACATTTTGCACTGACAAGTTGATAGAATGTCTAGGTGCAACAGGTAGAAAAGCGATGCTGTCTTTAACTACCATGGATAGTGATAATGTTAAGAGTGAAAGTCTAGTGGTCAATTTGGAAGTTTCTGATCTGCAAGGACGTAATGTTGTTGAACTGTCAAATGTTTTCTCACGAGTCAAGCTTCCAGTCACCGTTGATGATATGCCGGTTCAAAGTGATGTGGAAAGGTGGTTTTACCTGAAAGATATCGACTTACCTTGCATTGATGCCGACATCGAATTGCTCATAGGTAGTGATGTGCCCGAACTTCTTGAACCTCATGAAGTGCAGAGAAGTGAAGATGGTGGTCCTTATGCCGTGTGAACACTGCTAGGATGGACCATCAATGGCCCACTCGGTAGGGCAAGTAAGGCAGCCCGTACTTCAAACCGTATCCAGTCTCATGTTGTCTTGGACCAGCAGTTTGTACGTTTCTGTGAAATGGAATTTAATGATTCGCAGTTCAGCATTGAGAAAGGATTGTCTCAAGATGACAAGAGAGCCCTTGCCATAATGGAGGATTCTGCTGAGCTCTGCGGTGGTCATTACGAGGTTGCGCTTCCCTGGAAGGTCTTCCCTCCAGATCTGCCCAACAACAAGATCGTCGCTGAACATCGTCTTGGGTTGCTGAAGAAGAGGCTGCTGAAGGATCCCCAACTACACCGGAAGTATTCTTTATTTATGGATGACTTGTTTGACAAAGGACATGCACAGAAAGTTCCTGACGGTCAGCGAGAAGATTCACCCTCATGGTATCTACCTCATCACCCCGTCATTCACCCACAAAAGCCCGACAAGGTCCGGGTGGTCTTTGACTGTGCCGCAAAATTCCAGAATGTCTGGCTCAATCAACAGATTTTGCAAGGACCTGATTTAACCAACTCGCTCATTGGAGTCCTAACAAGATTTAGAGAACAGCCCATAGCCATCATGGCTGACATTGAGAAGATGTTTTATCAAGTGCGCGTACCAATAGAGGATAGCAGGTACCTCCGTTTCCTGTGGTGGCCGAGTGGTGAAATGGACAAAGAACCAGAAGAATTTCAAATGCTAGTTCACCTTTTCGGGGGAGTTTCATCTCCCAGTTGTGCGAATTATGCACTGCAGAAAACGGCTGAAGACAATGCGGAACATTTTGATAAAGACACCATTCAGACGGTGAGAAGAAATTTCTATGTTGATGACTGCTTGAAGTCTGTGGAAGATAACCAACAAGCAAGTCGACTGGTCGATCAGCTACGTCAGTTGCTGGCCAAAGGAGGTTTCCGCTTAACGAAATGGGTTTCAAATGCCTACGATGTCATCCAGTCAGTCCCAGTATCCGAGAGAGCCAGTTCGGTCAAAGAGCTCGATCTCGAGAACTTGCCTGTTGAGCGTGCCCTCGGCATTCTGTGGGATGTCCAGTCAGATACCTTCCGTTTTAAGATTGCAGTGAAGGACCGACCCCCAACGAGGAGGGGTATTCTTTCCGTCATAAGCTCAATTTATGACCCTCTAGGGTTTGTTGCACCATTAATTCTGCCTGCGAAAGCAATTCTGCGTGATCTGTGCCGGAAGGGATTGGATTGGGATGATAGAATTCCCCTTGAAGATTTAAAGCGTTGGCAAGATTGGTTGCAGGAACTTCCAAAACTCGAACAGTTCGCCGTTGAACGTTTTTTAAGGCCCAAGAACTTTGGCCGCATAGTGTCTAGCCAACTTCACAATTTCTCAGACGCATCAGGTGAAGGATATGGTGCTGTTACTTATCTTCGAGTCGTCAATGAAGCTGGAAATGTCCATTGTGCCTTTTTGATGGGGAAGTCGAGACAAACACCCCAGAAGTCAGTTACTATTCCTCGTCTGGAGCTTTCAGCTGCTGTGGTTGCCACCAGATTGAACAAGATGATGCAACATGAGTTGGATGTAGCACTAGAAGAAGAGTTCTTTTGGACGGACAGCACGTGCGTCTTGAGCTATATTACGAACAAAGAGAAGAGATTTCAGACGTTCGTCGCGAACAGAATTACAACAATCCATGAAGGATCGCGACCAGATCAGTGGAACTATGTTGACACAGATTCCAACCCAGCTGACGATGCGTCCAGAGGGCTTTCAGCTGAAGACATCATCCACCAAAGCCGCTGGATTAATGGCCCTCCCTTTTTGTGGGAAGCAGAGGACCGCTGGCCTAAGCGACCTGAAATTTCTGTGGAAATAAAGGAAGATGATCCTGAGGTGAAACGGGAAAGGAAAACTTTCTCAGTAGCGTCTACAGTTGAAGCTGACTTCTTAAACCGAGTAGTGCAGTCCTGTTCCTCGTGGTATAAGCTTAAGAAATTGATGGCATGGATCTTGCGTTACCGTTCTAATCTTCTGCGCGAGTGTCGCAGGCGGAAGGAAGGCACAGCTAAAGTACTCGTCTCCGAAATACCCAGTCCCATCAGTGTAGAAGAAATGCACTCTGCTGAGATAGAAGTCTTGAAGTATGTACAAAGGCAATGCTTTAGAGAAGAGTTGGTGTGTCTGCAAGGTAAAGAATCAAAAGTTGAGCTCAAGAAATCAGTCCGAGCCAGAAGAACAGGTTCCGTCAAGAAATCAAGTTCAATCGCCAAGTTGGATCCTGAGCTGCGCGATGACCTGCTGTGTGTGGGAGGAAGATTGAGGCATGCACCAATTGAACAGGAGCAAAGACACCCTGTAATACTGCCTAAGAAACATCATGTTGTAGATTTGATCGTCAGGCATTATCACTTGCTTTCTGGACATTCTGGTCAAGAATATGTGCTCTCTTTGATCAGAAAGAGTTACTGGATTATCAAAGGAAGAGTCGCGGTGAGAAGAGTTGTAAACCGTTGTTTTAGCTGTAGGCGAAGACAGGCTCCGTTTAAAACTCAGAAGATGGCCGATCTTCCTGCCGATAGAGTCACACCTAACAAACCCCCGTTCAGTTTTGTGGGCGTTGATTGTTTCGGTCCGTTTTGGGTCAAGAGGGCTAGAAGTCAAGTTAAGCGTTATGGAGTCTTGTACACGTGTTTGGCGACCAGAGCCATACACTTGGAAGTCGCCCAGAGTATGGACACTGATTCGTTCTTGAACTCCATGCGCCGCTTTATCGCAAGGCGAGGTGTTCCTGAAGTAATGAGGTCGGACAATGGTTCAAATTTTGTTGGCGGGTGCAAGGAACTCCGAGAAGCTATCTCTGGTTGGAACAAGAGTCAGATCCATGAGTTCCTCTTGCAAAGAAATGTCAAGTGGCTGTTTAACCCACCATCGGGGTCCCATTTCGGTGGCGTGTGGGAACGTTGTATTAGAACTGTCAGAAAGATTCTCGTTGCACTTATGAAGGAACAGCCGCTGGATGATGAAGGGTTGACTACCCTCATGTGTGAAGTGGAGTCAATTGTTAATGGGCGTCCCATAACGAAGTCATCTGATGACCCGTCAGATTCTGAAGCTCTCACGCCGAGTCATTTGCTGTTGCTACGGTCAGGCCCAAGACTTCCCCCAGGTGTGTTCAGGAAAGAGGATAGCTATTCCCGAAGAAGATGGCGCCAAGTTCAATATTTAGCCGACGTGTTTTGGCGGAGATGGATTAGAGAGTACTTGCCACAGTTGCAAGAGAGGCAGAAATGGACTTATCCGTCAAGGAACTTCGCCGTTGATGACATAGTACTTGTGGTCGACGATAGAGTACCGAGATCATCTTGGCCTCTTGGTCGGATTACCAGTGTGCGCAAGAACAGCACTGATGAACATGTGAGGAGTGTAACGGTGAAGACCAGAACCTCGCAATATGATCGCCCTGTCGATAAGATCGTTCTCCTGGAGTCAGTGGAGATGTCAGAGGGAATGAAGCCGTGCTGAACTGAACTATGATCCGAACTTTGTATATGTTTGGAGAACTGTTAGATTTAACGTTTTGTTTCGGTCAAGTTTCCTTTAAAATCCTTTGCTATTGCCTACGATTTTAGGGGCCGGAATGTAGGTTTCAAAACGTTCTTCTTGTATCTGTTAAGTTTTTCCCGTCTTTAGCCCGCGCGGGACTGGTAGAACAACTACGTCATTTATATGTCGTTGTAATATTATGGTCTGGGACATGTGCTCGCTCGAAAATCTTGAGGTAAAGTTCTAGTCGAGTTCTGTTCGTTTACACGGCCTAAAGTCTTTTCACGTTTCCTTCGAGCCTTCAAATCCTGTAAGTATGTTGTCGCTAAGTATTTTCATCTTTCTTCCTTTTATTCACACTCGTTTTGTTTTTCGTAGTCTAACCAGATCCTTGTAACGAATCTATGGTCCGAATCTCCTTGGAATAAATTCATATGAACATTTAAGTCTACAATAGACAGCAAATTGACCAATCCCAAGGCGAAAACAGACTTAGCAAAATAAATTAAAGCTTCATAGGCCAGCTTCTAGGACCAATAATGGCCTAGCAAGGCCGTTAAGAGTAGTAGTATAACATAATTGTGGGAAACAATACCTTTAATTTGATTTGAAACGGGTTTTTATGTCGAAACATAAATTCTTGACATGCTTTGGTTTCAAGGGAAACATCGTTAGACTGGGTGATTTGGTCCTGACTTGACCATACAATGCAGAGGTGTTTCCGACGTTTCTTTGATAGCTGCAATAGTTCGTTTTCGTCGTGTACTCGTTTCCGTAACGTGGCTCGTATTAAAGCCGAGAAGGCTCTTCTTCCTGTTTACAGGAAAGAGCTGAGAAAAGTACTCTCAGAGTATCTACAGTGTATGCGTACAATAACAACAAATAAAAGAATACGGATCAAACAAACCTCAATTACATGTATATTTGTTCCTGGTCCCCTTTGGTACTGATTATCTACGTTGATGTTTCCAATTCATGTATAAAAATAAAAATACATTTTCAAAGCTTTAGGATGGATCAATCCCCGCTGTCAAAGACGCGTCTGGCTTATCGCCATTCTACTAGTCATGCATGTATAAATAATAAACACCAGAACTATCGATACAAAGTAGAATGAGTCAAGATGTGTACTTTATTATTATTTTCTTTTCCTGTAATAATGTCTTCTGTTGTTGCCGTCTCGACGTGAATAGGTTAAGTTGTCAATGATTACCAGCAACAAACATTGTCGTGTCTGAATAAAGGTGTGAAAAAAGCTCTTGTTTAATTTGTTTTATAATTTCAGTTGCTTATATTAGAATATAAGTGTTCAGTTCATGTGACCGTATTTCTTCTCCATTCAGGGCCGGGAGAATTATTATTATTGTTATTATTATTATTGTAATTATTGTTATTGTTGTCAACAGAGTTGTTACAAGAACTTTTAATTTACCACTATGCATGATCGAGCTGACTTACCGAAGTTATTGGTCGTTCTAAATAGTATCTGACAAGAACTTTCCTCGTCAGCAGTACGTCTAGTTTAATTACATTCGCTTGAGGAGTTTGTCCCAATTTTAAAAAATAATAATATTTGCTCATTTGTTTTGTTTTGTTATCCCAGGAAAAATTAAAACTACGGAGGCTGAGCATGTAGCAATAAAGCCAGAGAGAAAACAAGAAAATAAAAGTGATTCGGACCCCGAAAAAAATCTTCCCTACACTTTAGAAATGTGGATCAATTTTGCAAATGCCACTTCTTTACATGGTATTCGCTACGTGTTCTGGAAGCGACCACTCTGGGCCAGGATTGGCTGGCTTCTTATTCTGCTGGCATTCACGGCCTACTTTCTGTACACAGCACACAGTTCTCTGGTTAAGTACTACAGCTGGCCCATAAATACCGTCATAACACAGAAATATACAGATAAGCTTGACTTTCCGGCTGTAACAATTTGTCCACTTAATCTTGTAAGTAAGAGAAAGATGTTTGCCCTGGAAGGGGACCCCAATTTCGTCAAATATGGCCTCAATGACAGTGTGTGTTCTGCCACGGCCGCAGTACGTGAAGGGAAACCTTGTGGAGCTGCTATGATGTGCTGTTGCTTGAGTTTTATTTTCCTCGATGGTGCAAAAATTGTTCCAAACTGCACTCAGGGGTACGCTGAAAGACTGATAGCTGCTCAGCAAAGATCTGGGATTTTTTTCGACACAGGCCGCTATTATGAAAGGTACGGACACGGAATAGATGAGATGCTGGTCCCTGGCTTGTGTATATTCGACGGTAACTTACAGCCGTGTGATGCTTCGGATTTCAGAACAACTGTCACAGATTGGGGTATATGCCACACCTTTAACGCTGACCCTGACCAGGTCAGAAAAAGCCAACTGCATGGAGTTGGGGGAGGTTTGAATATATTACTAGACGCTCAAGTTGAGGATCACACGATTGGAAGGCTGTCTGAGGGTTTCAGTGTAATAATTCATCGACAGGGAGAGTATGTGACAGCTTGGGATGGAATTAACGTCCAACCAGGCATGCAAGCATCAATCGCACTACACCAAAAAAGGGTGAGTCTCCGCGTAAAAATAAAGGCGAGCTAGGATTAATTCTTACTTGCGTGTCCACGCATGTAAATTTTACTCGTGTAAATAAAAAAGAGGCAAGGCATGAAGTTGAGCGAGGTTCGACTTTTTCGATTTCGTACTTAACCCCTATTTTATTTGTGAACGTAAATTTTTATGCACGTAAGGAAGGACAAAAATTACGTGACAGTACGTGAGAGTGACAAAGACAAAACCTTCATTTGATTAGTCATTTCCAAACTGAATTCTGACACTATTTGGCTGAAATGCCTTCCACCCCTCACCGAGAATGTGAAAGCCTCGCGGGTCTTCATTAATGTTCCAATTGTTTGGCAGATAACAAATCTCGAGACCCCTTACGAAACAAAATGTGAAAACAGAAAATTAAAGACAAGAAGATCCTATACAACGAAAGGCTGTTTGTTCGAGTGTGTTGCGGAAGCCATCATCGAGAAGTGTAAATGTCGTTCTGCTGAGTATCCAGGTAAAAGTTATAGACATTTTTGGCTAGGTTTTACACTAGACGAGACATTTCCGGACTAATGAAGACTCCAGTACGTTTTGCATTTAACCGAAATAAAAATGTTCTTGTTTGTTCGCGTGCCCTGAGCTTTTGAATCGGGAATCTAAGATGATTATTTTTTAGATCCGAATAAATGTTATGGGATTAACTGATCTAATACGTAAACGCCTGCGAATCCGAATATCCCAATAGGATATCCGGAAACAGATTTGAATCCGGAAAAATCTCGCCTAGGGTAAACCTATCCCTTACTTTTTCTAGTTTCTGCTTATCTTAGTGTTAGCTATATGTTATTCATTAATTTTAACAAAACATGTCATAAATTTATGAAAACAGAACAAAAACAAAAAACAAGAGAGAAAGAATAGACATGGTAATCAAAATGAAAAAAGAGGAATGCGAAATGGTATCAAGTTTATTATTCATAAGTAGGCTGAGTATGATCGTCCGGGTGAACGTAGTCCCGAATAGGACTGTTGTTTTTCACAGTGACTGACGTTTCGACAACCTGTGCTGTAGTAATCTTCAGAGTCAAAGTGAGTAGCATCACGTCAGTTGATGGTTTTTAGTCACATTGTCAGTTGTCCAACTGGGCAACTGACAGTTTGACTAACAATAAACGACAGTTTAACTTTGACAATAGCCGGATCGAAACGCACCAATGACATAACGAGTCTTCATACCAATAACGTCACGGCCTAACTGGCAGACGACTAATAACATCGCGACTTAATTGACCAATCAGATCAATAACCAGGGTTAAATATCATCAACTGACGTAATACAACTCGCTTTGACCCGCCCTAGGGTGGTTTCGCGTCTTTGGCAGATCTCACTCTCTGTTTGTTTTATTCTTTGCGAAATACTCTAGCCATACCCCAGAAAGCAATTACAGTGGATTTTAGTTACTTAGCCTGACGTTAAATAAACAAAATGGCCATGTCGGTTGTTTTCACTTTCAGTAGTATAAGGCGCACCGAATTAGTCCTCGTTAGGGAGAAAATATGATTAAAGAGAGAAGGAATACAATCAAGTCGAAGACGTAATAGGGTGATTTAATTGAGATGTTGAGGAAATTAAACAAAAAAACAAGGATCGAGGAGGAAAAAGAAAGATTATAGAAATGAGGTGGCAGTTGTTGGTAAAAAGCAAGAGTCCCGGCAAGAGTAGTGGTGGTGGAGAAAAGACAGTACAGTTGTGGTCAAGTTGGAGGGGAGGCAATGCAAATGCAATGGTGGAAAGGCAATACAGCTGTGGTGGTGTTGGAGAGGAAGCAATACAGTTGTGATGGTGGTGAAGGGAAGGCAATACAGCTGTGGTGGGGTTGGAGGAGAATTAATACAGTTGTGATGGTGGTGCAGGGAAAGCAATACATCTGTGGTGGGGTTGGAGGAGAATTAATACATTTGTGATGGTGGTGCAGGGAAGGCAATACAGCTGGGTGGTGTTGGAGGAGAAGTAATACAAGAGTGATGGTGGTGAAGGGAAGGCAAAAAAACTGTGTTGGTGTTAGAGGAGAAGTAATACAAGTGTGATAGTGGTGCAGGGAACGCAATACAGCTGTGGTGGTGTTGGAGGGGAAGCAATACAGTTGTGGTGGTGGTGAAGGGAAGGCAATAAAGCTGTGGTGGTGTTGGAGGGGAAGTAATACAGCCGTGGTGGTGTTGGAGGGGAAGCAATACAGTTGTGGTGGTGGTGAAGGGAAGGCAATACAGCTGTGGTGGTGTTGGAGGGGAAGCAATACAGTTGTGATGGTGGTGAAGGGAAGGCAATACAGCCGTGGTGGTGTTGGAGGGGAAGCAATACAGCTGTGGTGGTGTTGCAGGGAAGGCAATACAGCTGTGGTGGTGTTGGAGGAGAAGCAATACAGTTGTGATGGTGGTGAAGGGAAGGCAATACAGCCGTGCTGGTGTTGGAGGAGAAGCAATACAGCCGTGGTGGTGTTGGAGGAGAAGCAATACAGTTGTCATGGTGGTGAAAGGAAAGGCAATACAGCCGTGGTGGTGTTGGAGGGGTAGCAATACAGTTGTGATGGTGGTGAAGGGAAGGCAATACAGCCATGTTGGTGTTGGAGGGAAAATAATACAGTTGTGATGGTCAGGCAGGGAAGGCATTACAGCCGTGGTGGTATTGCATGGAGGGGAAGCAATACAGCTGTGGTGGTGTTGGAGGGGAAGCAATACAGCTGTGGTGGTGTTGGAGGGGAAGCAATACAGCCGTGGTGGTGGGGCAGGGAAGGTAATACAGCCGTGGTGGTGTTGGAGGGGAAGCAATACAGTTGTGATGGTGGTGAAGGGAAGGCAATACAGCCGTGGTGATGTTGGAGGGGAAGTAATACAGGTGTAATGGTTTTGGAGGGGAAGCAATACAGCCGTGGTGGTGTTGGAGGGGAAGCAATGCAGTTGTGATGGTGGTGAAGGGAAGGCAATACAGCCGTGGTGGTGTTGGAAGGGAACCAATACAGTTATGATGGTGGTGCAGGGAAGGTAATATAGCTGCCTTAGTGAGATTCAACAGCATTTTAATTATGAGATGAAGGCAAAACTAGGAGGCTGAGACTATTTAGTATCTCTTTTAAACATTGTTTTGAGATGATGTGCATGCTGATAAAAGGTTAAATTCGTTATTAACTGTGATACAGCATTTTTTTTTTCGTTCTAAATTACTCAAAGGTGTTTATCTGCTCTCTAAAGTTTACTATGTTGTGGCGCTCAACAGCAGTTTAATTCTGTTATGATAAACATGATTTACTATTTCTACTATAATTGTTATTTGTTTAACAGCGGAGAAGACGATGCGAACTTGTGGGAAAGTGGATCAGCTGTGCGCTCTAAATGCTACACGTAAGAAGCATTAACCTAAGGACTTTTCTGTTTTTTGAGTGATCGTGTTTGAAATAAAATCGCCTTCTCTGAAACTGGGAAGATAATAATAATTAATTATATCTTGTATCACAGTACTGTTTGTCGTAACATCATATAATGACCGCATCTTTATGTCTTATACTTAATTTCAAACCAAATTATAAAGCTAATTTGAGCATTTAGTAAGTGCTCCATGCTTTCCTGGTTTCATCCCAAAGAGGATTGACCAACGTTTAGTGTCGATCTTCTGTTACCTTTGAGAAAGTTGGAAACTACATACGTCACAGTTTAAGACGTAAGTGGGTTTAAATATTGTCTTTTTCCGTCTTTTGCTTCTTATCTCAAGAGGGGGTTTGTTACCCTTAGGGTGGGGCCAGTTTCTACAACAAAGATTCATTTTAATTACATGTTTCACTTGTAACGTTTATTTATGCAAACATACTTGCAAAAGACCTCGTTAAATGTACTATAGAATTAAGACATTAATAAAAAGCAAGTTAGCAGGATTCAATGCTGCGTGGGTAGAACAGCAGTAACTTTTCAAACTTTCCACATTAATTACTTGGGAGTTTAAACTATCGCTTACTTCAGGCAAAGCGAATATATGGTTAATAGATCGTTTTTGTTCTGCTCAAGAAGGCGCTCGTTCGATGAATGGCGTGGGTTGACCTTGCGACTTATATACGTGCAAAGTAGAAACTCGCAAATTACTAGAGCGAACGTCGCTAAGTCGACGACGTGGAAAATTTCGTATTATTTTGAAGGTCTCACTTAAGAATAATACCATCCAACATTCTAGTCGATAAACGTCCTACAAGCTGCAATTGCCCAGTCCCCTGTGATGAAACAAGATACACCACGGAGGTTTATTATTCTAGTTTCCCTGATGCCGGTTCTGCGAAAGTGATACAAGCCACCGGAGCGATCCGCTCTTTTGACTATATGCGGTAAGTACCAGAAACTGTGCCCCTGGATAATAAAGATGCGTTATTGACCAAGTGTGGCGCCAATTAAGACAGGATATCGGCCAAGTTTATTATATAGCAAGAAAGAAAAGTTACACTCGTGAGGGACTAACGCGCGCGCGCATGAGAAGTCCATCATGCGCACCTGGGTAGCCAATCAGAACAAAAGTACAGTAGCCCACTCCCGGATTCGTCCATGTAATATTTACTACTGGGTTTTTAGTAGGGCCATTAAACAATGACAATTTTGTATGTAAATTGATGAGTGTAAAAGGCATACTTTGTCCGTCAGGAAATTGACGCTTTGTTTTGTTGTTGTTGTTGTTTTGTTTTAGATAAAACACTTAAACTGGGCTATATTTACTAATTAATTAATTGCTAAGGTTTCTTTTGGCCACTCCAGAGTAAAAAAGAAAGAGAGCTAGTTGAGATTAGACGTTATTTCTGATCTTATATTCATAAAATTGGGTAGCAATAAGATCAAGAATGTTGCTCATTTAATTTTAAACAGTTTTTCATATACTTTTCACGGAAAAAATCAAACTTTGAGTTGAACTTCAAGAATTTTTGCGATGATCGTAGGCTTCAAGAATATTTGGTAACTTTTAAAGTCAGGGCCGGCGAACATAATCCATCATGACCCATTTCTTTATATTTTATCCCAGTAACTGTCAGGAATCCGAATGTATCATAAACATAAAATGGGTGAGCCTATACTCTCTATCCTCACTTTAACTAATATGTGGTTTTCTATGGGAACGTTGATTATCTGTAATTTACATTTCCAGTATTTGCAATAGCAGCAAATTGTACAGGCAATGTTGACTATGTGTGTCATTGTATTTTCTAGGAAGAACTTTGTCTTTCTTCAAATTGGTTACAAGACACTCAGCTACGAGCTACAAGAACAGACGGTGGAATTTGGGATTGAAGCCCTATTTGGTATCATTGTGTTTACTTAATGCTTACTCCTAATCAATATTCAGCTAGATTTAAGGTTGTAATAAAGCAAATGGTCATTTCATTTTGGGGAACTCCAAAAATGACATGAAACGACCGCTGCTCAGTTTTTTCATTTTTTTTTTTTTAATCGTGGCTCATTCATCTATTTTTATGCCTTGCTAACAAGGAAAACCGAAGTTAACATTTACTTACCGGCGAAAGATTCTTGCATTTCTCTCCCGTCCTCCCACCCCTTTGGGTTTTCCCCCCCTAGAGCTTCGCGAGGTTCTGCAATACACGTATTTCTAGTCTATTTTTATGCCTTACTAACAAGGAAAACCGAAGCTGACATTTGCTTACCGGCGAAAGATTCTTGCGGCCTGTAATGAACTGGCGCGCTGTTAAATCGTAGAGAAGTTGTAACTACAGTAATAAATCACTTGTGCATGTGAAAGCCCGTATTAAACGATTTTCGCAAACGGTTTGAGCACACATCCTATTGAAAATAATTCATTCTTCATTTGTGACAGGCATATATCTTGTTTTCTTTCTTTCTTTTTTTAAAGGTGAAATTGGAGGAAATATGGGTCTTTTTCTGGGCTGCAGCCTGATGACAGTATTCGAGTTTGCTGATTTACTTGTGGCTTTGATTTATGTTCGTAAACTGGGCAAAGAATATCAGACATGAGAGGGCCTTTCGATATGATATCTTAAATTCTCAATTTTCTCTCTTTCTGTCTCGCTGATTTGCTGATTTGCTGATTTGCGACTCCAGTTACTTAATAAGCTCTGCGTCAGCTTCATTCAGCGCCGCTGCGATTGCTCTTCAGTGTATTAGAATAGGGTTTGGTTTCGGGAATGTAATAAACGAAGGTCTTACTTTCCAATGCAGCATACTAGATTGTACCAGAGCTTGCGAACAAAGTGTATTTTATTTATTATTTTGCCTGTGGCGGGGAAATCTACGAGAAGCCGAGCTTATGAGGAATAGAGATTTCCTCCAAATAGTTTTCTCAATATGTACAGTGCACTGACGTGCGACTGTCTGGAAATGGCTGACCTGCGGCAGCGTTTCCATTTGAAAGCCCTGTGACCAAAATTTAAAAACCCTTATACGTTGTATAATGGGAATGACTGAAATGTGAGTCAACTTCACCGTAAACGACGCGTTAAGCAGCTGGTCAGAGCGATCAACGGTAAATAAAGATAAAAATGACTCTGAGTCCAAAACTATTGTCCAGTCATTATCTAAAATATTAATGTTCTCTGTTTTTCACTACTTCGAAATACAGATGGTATGGAAGTGCTATTTCCTAAGATAAATCATTTATTTGGTACGTTTTTTTATGATTCGTCCCTATTACGCCAGCAAAATTTCCGGAGAAATGATGCACGCAATGGCATTGAAAACAACATCTGTTACGACTGTATGATAGACTTTCGTGTCATGAGCGTCAAGCTATAACCAAATAACTCATAACACTCGTTGAAATAAAAATTACATTTCATTGCCACTGCCAATCATATTGCCGAAAACGCCAACTGTTGAGATAGAAATAGTCAATTACCACTGTCAACAAAAAGAATGTTCGTCCTGATTACATTTGCTATAGAGTTTTTATTGACTATTTTATTCATTTTCAATATAAAAGATCTCAGCAGAAATAGATAAATCGATGTTTCCTTCCATCGACAATAAGTATAAAGTTGTCTACTTGCACATAATCGTTCGTTTTACTGAGGTTCTAAAGCGCCTACTTTGAAGTGTGTACACAAAAGGATTTACAGCTGAGTTTAAACATGTGAGCACTACACTCCACTTATAAAGCGGCGAGCCGTAGACAAAGTTGGAATGATTAAATGCTAAGATGTACAGAATCAGATTTGGTAGCCAACAAACGGAATAAATAACTGTCAATGTGATAGCCATTCTAGTGGCTTTTCTTCTTGGAATTAAACGAGCTCTGTGGTTAACTTGTTGAGTTCTTACTTTTCTTACCCATAGCTGATAAACGACTTTTGAATACAAAATTGTCATACAGAGTATAGGTAACGCTCCAACTACTGTGAACCAGAGTACGCCGTATAATTTAGGAAGAACGGGATGCGGCCAGTTTTCTGTGCAAAAGTCGATTTCTTCGTCATATGACATGATAAAAAATAATGGAAGATTAAGCAACAGCGCAAAAATCCAGGACATTATCACGAAAGCTAGCAATTTTGACTGTGAGAAGTCTTTCGTAAAGCCATAGGGTCCTAAAACAACATCAGCAACATGGCGGCGCTCAAAAGCGATGGTAACAAGAGTAAACACGGACGCTGACCCGGCAGTCCACATCAGATTTCCTCCCGTAATGTAGCGGCACAGATAGTCTCCTACCAAACCTCGAGGGTGGATAAAAACGCCGTGTAAAACGTAACGAGGGATCGCAAACACCGCCACCATCACATCGGCTATGGCTAAGTTCAGAAACAGAAAATCCAGGGCAGAGCGGCGAAATCTGAATCTCTTCCATTGTAGAATAATTGAGCAAACTAACGCGTTACCAACAAAGTCGGTAAGCGACAGTAGTGAAAAAGCTGATAAAAGCGCAATGTCGTTCTCAGAAGACATTTTGTTTTTAGTTAACATTGGTTCAACTTCATCTAATCAGTCGCGCTTTTACAAGTCATCCCTGACTATCTAACCTTAGCGCACCATGCAAAGCCTCAAGAGCATCGATGATTTTTCGTCAATCAAATTTATGATAATATTTAAGGAAGGGCGCCAATCGTTAGAGGTTTCTGTCAGTACCAGCATCAATATGGTTAAAGCTGTGAAAACAGGATATGAAAAGTTTTCTATTCACCAATTAAAGCGAAAAGGGTGGCAAAGTTAAAATCTAATGCTCTGCATGCTTTTAAGAAGCTGTATTGTGCTTCATTACAACTGCTCTTTACCACCTAATGCGACACGGCAGATTCCATGAAATGTGCTTATTAGGAATTAGAAAATGTTATTTCAATCGGCCTTCAAAAAGAAAGTTTGTATTTAGTTTTACAGTCGGATCTGATCTTGGCGAATTTAATTTTAGCAGGTCGCGAACAATCGGCAATCGTGGATGTGTGCTGTTACCGCAATTTGGAGCGTCGCAATATTTCAAGTCAAAATTAAATCAATATAATAATTTATACGCATTGCTAATACGATTGGAAAATTGAAAGATAATTCAACGATAAAAATGATTAACGATAGATAAATTTAGTTACCTCGAAAGAGGTTTTTGTTTTCTTTAGGTCCATTTCTATAAGCCAACAGTTGATTAATATCCCGCTTTCATTTGTGATTACGTTTTTTACTGCGAAGAATTTAACTTAGAATCTGAAATAGTTTATAGCGTTGTCTAAACAGAACTGTCGAAGTAAAAGTGATTAGTTTTCTCTCCGACTGCGCTTTTCTTTAAACAGTAAATACATCAGTCAATCTGACGCAAGACAAAAGTAAGTAACACTTGCCACCCCTTTACCAATGCTTTTCATAAGTCAAACGGGAAAAAAAAGAAGATAGCTTTTTCTTAATTGAATCTGCGTAATTTTTTAATTGGAAGTTATTACGCCGCAGTTTAACTTAGGATGTTTCAGACCTAAACAAAAGATTAATTGCCCTATGCTTTACATTAGAAAATTAACAATGAATCCGGTTTGTTTCCATCATCTTTGGTACATATTATTCATACGCGCTGAACCCCTGAAAGTGAAATAGTCTGAATGTGTGTTGTTGATGGGTATGTGCCAGCAACCAAAAGATTCTCTCTTGGCGCAACACAAACCAAAAAAACTTAAAAGCATTTCAAATGAGGAAAAAAACATCTGAGCAAGGGGGAAACAAAAAGAGTTAAAGACAGTGTTGTTTTGAAGGCAGTACTCAAGGTTTTATATTTTATACTTAGACATATTTATATTTAGATGGTCAAGAACAAAAACATTTCGATCACAGGCTAAAATCTATTTTCATGTAAATGCTATGGCTGCCGTGAGGCGACTTCTTTTGCTGATCAGCGCTAACAATAGACCAACAACTTTATTCCGATTTGAATCCTCGACGGTTACAGCAATGGGCAAGATGGTAGACAATTGACCCAAAAGACTTGACTGGCATTAGGTTCGATGTACCGTGATTTGTCGTATTTGATGTGCTGTATTTTAAACTGAAATACTAGGTGAAAATAAAACTTCAGAAATACTGCGAGCGCAAAGAAATACATCAAAAATGAAATACAGCAAATGAATGGTCAACGCAGTTACACTATTTTGACGCAAAACTTCTGACCGAAAAAGAGATACTCCGGACAGGAACCTACTACTTAGTACTCTTGAAGAAACAACGTTGAAATGAAAGCTGGACTGAAAATGCTAGAAGGCGATTCAAGTTAAAAACAAAAAATGCAAGCAAGGGCTAGGCGCAGTTGAGATTGCTAGGGGAGTTGATAACTTTAAATTCTTTGAAATAATTTTTATTGTATTGACCACCAACATGGCCTCCATGTCACGTGCTTGCAAACCAAGAATATTTTCTTTTGAAATTTGGTTAACAAAATACTCTTAAAATTTCGTGTTTCTAGTTGCTAGGGGAAACATTTTGGTCAGCTTTCGCGTAAGTTCGGTGTTTTTTCAGTTAATTTATTACCTTATTTAAATATATCAAATCTGCCAACCTCGTTCTCAGGGTCTTCTGTATTCTTTCTACGATAAACGACCCTGTAGAGAGCCTGAGAAAAAAGGACCCAAGGAGCAAGAAAGTAGCTGAATTTGAGCAGTGTAGCTTTCTTTAACTTTAAGAGGCTTTACTAATAAAAGAAAAGGTAAAAGATGGCGGGGTCGCTTCAGGAAGAAACTGAATTCCCATTATTTTTAGGGTTACTCTCCTTTCATAAATCTAACTGACTTGTACATGCACACATAATAATACACAAAATAAGATAAATACATTCACAACATAAGATTAGAAATAACTAATAAGAATAATAATAAATAGAATAAAATAGAAAATAGTTATCGATTAATAATCGATTGAGCGTAAATAACTTAAAAGGAAGACTTTGAAAGAATTAAGGCTCCCACTACAATAGATTCACAGGTAACAGACGAGAAAGAATTCCATTCACTAACGGTAACAAGTAAAAACGGAATACTTAAAAAACAAAACCCTTGGCAGTCTGGTGGAATAACTTAGGGGCTGTCGCATGGGTTCTCAAGCCCCTTTTTTCATTGTTTTTTTTTTTTTAAATAGGAGATGCAACTACGATACGAACGAGATCGCAGTCTAGTCTTAGTCATGTAACCTTGAGGGCTTCACTTGAATATTCAATATTCTGTTAAAAAGCCGAGGACGTAGCCCAATTTTCCAACAACAATGAAGTAAATTATTAATTATTAACCATAACAGGTCTGCCGCTATGTACTGGACGAAAAGCAGCAGAGTGCGCCTCTGATGCGCTGCCGAAAGTTTGTGCTTTGAAGAGCATAAATAAAAGGATTCATTGCTGAATTAAGACCCACAAGGACAACAGTCGTAACATAAGGAAACGAACCATATAGATAGAGCTCAGGTTTATACTGGGATAGCATATAAAGTACCAAATTTGGTAGACGACATGCCGCATAAATGATACTGACGATCAAAACCATCTTGGTCACTTTCTTTCTTGCGCGGATCCGCGACTGCTCTGCTAATAGTGGTGTGCGTTCACCACCACCTTTCCAGAGATTCCACAGTACTTTCGAGTATAAAACTGTCATAACACCAACGGGAATAGCACCAAAAACAAAGAAGCATGTTACTGTGTATGTTTTTGCTAACTGTTTATTCGGCCATTGTTCTACACAGTGGCTCACTCCGTCTTTGTGTTGAACAACAAAAAACAGAGGAAGATCAAAAATCAGGGCATAAAGCCAGCTGGCAGTAATCATTCCAATAAATTGATGTTTCATGCGTCCCAAATGGTCGCTGAAAGGACGAACAACCGCGTAGAATCGTTCAACTGCAACTATCACTAAAGAGAAGGTAGATGCCGCCTGACCAACCCATATGAAGTTACCTCCAGTTAAGAACCTGCACATGGTATCTCCTGCAGTGCCGTTAGGGTGGTGAAATGCCCATTTGATGACGTACTGTGGAGTGATAGCAAGAGCTACCATCATGTCTGACACAGCCAGGTTCACCAGCAGGTAATTAATAGGTGCTCTCATGCCGCGAAATTTAAACACCACAAGACAAACCAAGCCGTTACCAAGGAGATTCATCAAAACGATAACAGAGAAGGCCACTGTAAGGCCCAGATCCATTGATGACATAGAGACCATTGCTTCCTCGATATAACTGCAGATGAAAAAATGTATATATAACAAACCCAGTTAAATAAAGTACCACTCAGATAATTTCATTCATTGAAGATCTCCTATATAAAAACTGCGGAAGTTCCCGCCGGAGAATTCCCAGCACAACCCTTAATTAAAGATACTCTCTTTATGGGCGAGGTCTAAATTATTTTATTCCTCAACTGATGTAACTAAAAATCAATCGAATGATGATTCTTTATTCGCAACATGTTGTTGCATTTCATTCTCACAAAATAAAAAAAAGTTAATAATATGTGAAAACACATCATAACTCGAGTAGGAGAAAGAGATCAACTGATAAGCAGGGTGTGGCTGTCTGTGACTATCTCCTTTTGGTTAGTTTTTTTGTGGTTATAAAGCGATCAATTAGCAAATTTAAATGGACCAAAAAGGAAAAGTCTTGGAGTAAGAAGAAAACTGAACCTAATCACAAATAATTCATAGGAAGGGTTTGTTGCACTTTTCACAGCAAGTAGGTTCCATAGGATAGTACTAAAGTTGCTAAGTTCTGGCAACAGTAGCACTTAGACGAAACAAATCAAACTCAATTACTCTGATGTGTCCAAAATATGAACTGGTCTGAGCACGCCACACGTGAGCAGATTTACGGAAAACTTCTACCTGATAAAATGCCGTCTCCAATTTGCAGGTCATTGCCAAAATGAACGAGCAAATGGTAATATCATTCAATCCGTTCTTCTGGGGAAACTAAGTGGCCGTGTACATACAAGGACAAATGACATTGACCGAGTCCCAGATAATTCTTATCTCGACTAGGGATTCCGGAATTGACAAGGGAGATATTGCGAACACGATGTCGGACCGCAATACGTCACGCGGAATAAGATCTTGTTCAGAGCATCCTGATCGAAAGGGCCGAATGATGATGACAATTGGAACGCAGATCATCAAGGGCGCTTAGAGGTGGTTCAGGAGTGAATGGTGAATGGAGTAAAAGATATGAAGAGCACTCCTGTCATTTTTAATAGGGGAGTACCCACCCTCCCCCTAACCTCCCAACTGGGGTTGCGCAGGGTATCCATGTTGGAGATGCAAGAACTACGGCAGCATATCAATCCCTATTTGTGTCTCAATGGCTGCCAGTAAAGCAAAATCATGCTAGTTGTCGAATTCCTAACTCAGGGCTATAAAGATATTTGAGTTCGAATACCCAAGTTTCACCGATAAAGTTCAAGATAACTAAATATTCAAACTGCATTTGTTTAGTGAAGTTATGATAAGTCTAAGCAGGAGCTAGTCCAGAAGGAATACTGACATGAACTTACGTCAGCGAAGATGACGACGGTATCAACAAATCAACTGCTTTTAAACGTAGTAGAAACTTCATACTTCTAATTTTGGTTTCTCCTACCTGTTCTGTTGCAAAATCTGCATAGGTGCTTTTACCTGTTGACGCTTTTGATTATTTTTTAAAAGGATAAACCAGTGACTAGCCCTCATGCGAACTTCTTGAGTTGTAAAAACTGTTTTCTTATCTCCAATGCGTTTCGTGTGACTAACGCATATTTCATCAGGGAAACTAAGAATACCTGTATATGTACCTAAAAAACGAACTGAATTTTACATTGAACACGAAACACCTAGGGATTTGCGTATGGGAACTACAAACAACGTGGTTATACCTCTACGCAAAAAGACGAAAAAGTATTTTGCATGGTGTGACATAATTGTAGTGTTTGGGGGCTCACAGTTTTAGCTAAAACTGAGGAGCCCAAAAATTCTTACAATTTACACTCACTTCCTTAATTGGTCCTGCTTTCTTTTTATGGTACGAGCGCCGTTCCACAGAACATGACGTAAAATTTATGAAAATGCATTAGTTTGCTTTTGTCCAAAATACCCCACACTAGCGTCTACTGCCTTACCCCCCCTCCCCCCCCCCCATTCCCCGCTAAACGTCTAGTTGACGAGTGAATATGTCGACGGAAAATGTATCTTCATTACAGCTCCTTAACAGCTGAGACGTTCCCCATATCTCCAGGGCCATTTAGTTCGAAACAGATTCTTCGTTGGATAATGATCTAATCAACTCAAGAAAAAAAAAATTTAAGCCTCTGAAAACTCCCCGGCAACGTCACATCCGCATCCTGTGAAAGCGTGATGCCCGCCACGATCCCGGCAGTTCCGCCGCTGTTGCTCAGAGAACTTTTTCTTTTTCTTCGCCTCTTAACTAGAATGAACCCAGGAATACTTTTATGCTACCCCTATTTCTTAAAGAAATAAACAGAAGGATTGACAAGGACACGCTGTCACGGCATATCTCAGAACAGAGCCAGAACATATCCGCTTTAAATCCGCATATCCACTTTTCTTTGATAAACACTTTGACCAGCAGCAGTGAGGGAAATAGTGAAATTCAAAAAAAGTTATGAAAGATTCTTAACAAATTTTTATGAAACATATTGCTGTAGACTCTATCTTCTCATAACCGTTTGAGTTTCATAGATCTATTTTAGCAGACGGATTGACGGAAATGTTGTTATTCCAGTTGCATTAATTCTAGCCTTAAGTTCAGAGTGAAAGTTAAGTAAAAATAAAATAACCAGGTATCACTCACCTTCAGTCTTCAAATCGAAGCAAATAATTTACCATTCAGGACTTTCCTTAATTTTAGCGGGATTAATTCAAGTTTCACAGCAAGGTATACAGTCGAGAATGATGGCACTGAAACTCGTTGAAACTGAAAGTTACGAAATGTGGATTGCGTGATGTACCAGCTGTTAAAAATTTAGTGAATGACGTAGCATGTCGTTTCCAGGCTGCTCTTGTCAATTGGGGGTTTGCATTGCTCCCGTGATAACTGCGAAGGACAGTGGTCTAAACAGACCTTTATTTTTATGGACTGTAGACTTGTCGTCTTCCAAAGCCATCATGGTGTTAGAGTCAGGTATGCTCATAATTAGCTAAGGGCTCGCTTCGTGCTGAAAAGAGCATTGTTTGGCGATAAGGCAATGCAAATGCCCACGCTTCCGGTTAAAGCTTCGATCAACACCTAAAACTAGCCAGTTTGCCGTCGGAAGTGGTGCGATTTTGGTGAAACTTTAGGGCTCTGTCAAACCTACCCGAATAAGCTGATTATTTTACACACAAAAGTTTTAACTCTGATTAATAGTTTCAAGGTTTAATGGTTGCATTCTGGGGAAAGTTGGCTGAGATATGATTTAATTTTTTAAAATGACCTTTAATTTGCTCAGCAGGAAAAGTAATTTGCATAACTAGAGCTGAACGGTAATTTCGCAAAAGTGGCACCTGACCCAGACTCAATTCTATGATAAATCAGAAGTACTAAGACTAGTCTACTTCTTAAGGCAATAAAATTTGTGGGCACTCTCCTTGCGTGCCGTGCAAAGTTCCGTTAATGTTCCAAAATTCGCCATTTTGACAGCAAAGCTGGAATTGTAACGGATCCGCATCTGATCGACTAATTTCCACAGCTTTAACGTTTCTAGTTATCACTAAATGTCATTAGACTCTTTAAATGTTGGACGTTTGAAAACATGTGGAGAAAACTTAGTAATCGCATTTCCTTGGGTCTTTTTCTTGTCAACGATGAACGTGATTTCATTCTCCGTATGCAAATTAGCCTTAGATGTGTTGCTTACATTTCACATTTCTAAGGGGAAAAATAACTCTCCTTTCCACATAAAAACACAAACCATGACTTAGAATCCCCTTAAGGTCTGTTTTTTTGTTTTTTAACGAGGAAGAAGCAGCTGAATAATATATCATGAGCTATCATGAATATTGCGTGGCTTAAAATAATTCAATTACTGTGGCCTGTCACGCATTCCTAAAGAGGGGTGGTCGATTAGAAAACAATAGCGTTGTGTCGATCAATTATGTCAATGAAATCGCCGAAGAGATCAGTTGTGAAAAATGGCTTTTTGGGCTATTTCATCAAGCAGTTCTTCCGCGAGATCGTAGACAGAGTGAGGTTCCAGTAGGGATGTGGAGGAAAATGTGTTGGTCACAGAGTGCATGGATGATATTACGTCGCACTTAGCCGGCTGTCACTTGTCTAATCTAGCAAGTGTAGCCAAGACAATGAAAATGAACTCATTTTAGCGAGAGGACGTATTCGAGGCTTGGTGGGTATTCGGAACTGAAATAATAGCCTGTGTACAGACCCCAGAGGGGGGGTAGTGTGTACAGGGCACAGACACCTACTTGGCAGGTTTTTGTGAGCGCCAAGGTCTTGTTAGGCTCGATTGTAAGCCTGTGTGCTGGAAAATGAACCCCAATGGACGGGTAGACGGTGGAAATCGAGCCTAAGGTCTTGTCAATACCCCGGTCACACTCTGGATCATATTGGCAAAATAAGTACTGTGGCAGGAAGACATGTCGTAAATTTCCAGATAGCCAGCGAAATAAGTCAAAGTTTTGTTCCATCATCACGTAAGTATCATTTTTTTTTTCTTCATGCAAAAAATTCTTCAAAAATGTCTCCAGACTGCTGTTCTTTTTTTGGTCTTTATACCCTCTTGAACAATGTGCTCCATCTCATCTCTTCATTTTTAACCTACTTTACCTTCCACCCTCTCTACCCACTGTTCCACCTCTATTCTTACAAGCATTTGTACTTAAGGGGGTGAAATTTTTCCCGTGTATATTAATTTCTGAAAAATTAAGTCCTTCTACTTTTTCCTTCAATTCTTAAACTTAGTTCTTTTTTCTTTAAGAACCGCCAAAGATGCTGCTAAGGCTACAATAAGCGCACTCGCCCTTTTATATACTTCATCTAGTGAAATGCCCATCCTTTCATATACCTGAAGCCTGAAAAAGATACTCCTTTCGGGCGGAACCTCCCCGTATAGACCATCATAGGGAGTTTCCCCACCCCCGTTTCAATTCCGTGCTCACCTATTGCCAGCGCATGTTGGACTCTAGGCCCGTTTGAGTCAACACGTAAACATAGTCCCAAGTGTATACAAGTTGAACTTGACCATAGGGATCTGTTGCAAGAAGACGAGGAGTTCCAAAGGCAAAAGCTTGTTGCAGTAATCGCTGAAGAATTGAGACCACAACACCCTCAACCAGAAGTTTTCAACCTATGTGTATGTCAAAGGAAGAACAACCTGGTCAGTTCAACGTGGTAATGCTCAAAAAATCTTGTGTTACTTTAAAATACCATTCAAATCCAGGATAGAAAAGGAGACCTAATTGACAAACTTTCGTCTTTCATACAAGATTGCACGTGCTTTTCTCCATCAGCTCAGGAGTGAACATAGGGATCCTTAATTTAGTGTGATTAACAGCCGGCAAAAACTTTTGGGATTTAACAGGAGACGGACCGTAAACAATAACCATGCCTTTTTCTGCATGCCGTCCCTCGTTTTTACTGAAATGTTGTTAATTGGCGATAAACACAATGCTCTTTTAATACCACCCTAGAGCTTTGTAGGGTAGCCTATAGTTAGCTAGGGATCTAGGAAATGTGTCTTTGCAGGTGTGGTCCTCTGGTGTCGCACGGGATTTCTGAAGTTGTTTGCGAATTGTTAATTTGAATTTGTGAATTGTTAATTGTGTAATTGAAAGTATTGTGCTAGTGCTCGTGAATAAGAGTGGCCGTGTCCAAGTGGCTACTTTGTAGCTAATTGTCACGTATTAGGATAGGGTTTAATGTGACAGCCCATGGTGTCACGCGACCTCGTCCCCAGGGCTTTCCCCTTAAAAAATGGGTGGTGACTCAGTTAAAACGGTCGTAGAATGAATAAATACAACAGCACGATATTTCCCACCCAGTAAAGAATCGGAATTAACAGTGATTAAATTGTATGATTATCAACAACTATCACTTCAAAAAAAATGTAATCAGATAAAAGAACTGATCGATACACGGCCACTCTCGGGGAATGCGTGACGGGCCACATTAATTAAATTATTTTAATTCGCTTAAACATATCTTCTTCTACTGCATCTTCCTCGTAAAGGAAACAGACCTAAGGGAATTCTAAGTCATATATCGTTCGTGTTTTTCCGTGGAAAGAAGAGATATTTTTCCCTTAAAAATGTTAAATAAAGGCAGTTATGTTTCCTGTCAATTTGTTGAAACGACGCATCTAAGGCTAATTTGCGTACGGAGAATGAAGTCGCGTTCTGATCGTCGACAAGGAAAAAAACCAAGAAAAAGCGATTACCAAGTTTTCTCCTCGTGTTTTCAAAATTCTAACATTTAAAGGGTCTAATGACATTTGGTGACAACTAAAAACTTTAAAATTGTGGAAATTAGTCGATCAAATGCGGACCGTTCAGGGGCACCCAACGGCAATTTTCGGGAAAATATCTGTTCGGAAGACGATTGAGTTCTAGAATTTTCGAAGCAATTGTTCTAAAATTTCTTGCTTACCTGCCTCTCCTAGGATTTTCGAACATCTACAAAATGGTATAATTACCCATTTTTAACGGATTTTGACCCTAAAAAAGGCCACCTAGAATTTTCGGGAGCCTTTTCCTGGCTGAAAGGTAAGTTTCTATCCCTATAATTTTCGGATCACTAAACTTTCAGCTAGGAAATCCGAACAGATGAAAAGTTTTTAGGGGATAAAAATATGCCTATATCTACCGTTTGAATACTAAAATACGTTCAACAATGCTATGTTAAGTAGTTTTGAACTATATCCTCGTTGGGTGCCCCTGACCGTTACAATTCCAGCTTTGCTGTCAAAATGGCGAATTTTGTAACATTAACGGAACTTTGTACAGCGCGCAGAGAAGAGTGCCCACAAATTTTATTGCGTTAAGAAGTAGACTGGTCTTAGTACTTCTGATTTATCATAGACCTGAGTCTGGGTCAGGTGCCACTTTTGCGAAATTACTGTTCAGCTCTAGTTATGCAAATTACTCTTCCTGCTGAGCAAATTAAAGGTCATTTTAAAAAAATCATATCTCAGCCAACTTTCCCCAGAATGCAACCATTAAACTTTGACACTGTTAAAAGAGAAGAGTGCCCACAAATTTTATTGCGTTAAGAAGTAGACTGGTCTTAGTACTTCTGATTTATCATAGACCTGAGTCTGGGTCAGGTGCCACTTTTGCGAAATTACCGTTCAGCTCTAGTTATGCAAATTACTCTTCCTGCTGAGCAAATTAAAGGTCATTTTAAAAAAGTCATATCTCAGCCAACTTTCCGCAGAATGCAACCATTAACCTTTGACACTGTTAATCAGAGTTAAAACTTTTGTGTGTAAAATAATCGGCTTATTCGGCCATGTAAGGTAGGTTTGACAGAGCCCTAAAGTTTCAGCAAAATCGCACCACTTCTGACTGCAAACGGGCCAGTTTTAGGTGACCGAGAAAATCTTCCTGTAATATAGAGAAAAAATTGGGTTGGTCCAAATAAATGTGATATTTCTTCACGGGATAGGATAGTTATCTTCCACTGAAAAAATCAGGGCAATCTGTGATACACCGAAATTTGCCTTACCGGTTCTTACGCGGACAGCCTCTTAACATCGTTGGTTATGCGTCAAAACTGATTGAGAAAAACATTTCACCAACACTACGTTTTACCGTTACCTCACAACCATAAGAATATGAACATTTTCCGCAACACACACAAAATAATAATGTTAATCGCTAAGGTAACAATTATGCCAACGTGACAAGTGGCAACGGAACACTTTATGACCCCTTACTGATCTTAATTAAGTCGTGCTGTTTGCCTCTAAATGCAGAGGACAGTGTGGTTAGCTCTCCTACTTGTTATGCTTCAGGTAGTTTTCGGTGTTCATGCATGATTGTGTAATTTCCTCTAGTCATTTTGACTTTAATGACGTTACAAATTATGCAGATATAATTATAAAATGGTCGACACATCACCGTCTTTAAAAGAAATGAACGAGGTAGTTTCTTAAACAGCACTCTGCTTCTTCAGCAGTTCTTGCTGGGAAGTATTTTCAAGCATAACCAAATTATTCCTTTTTGTCTTTTTCATATTCTTATCCCTTCACTCACAGAGCTGACCAAAGTCGCAGATTTAGTCGACGAAGACTCCAAATGTCATTCTGTGGAATGCGGAAACATGTTTTTTCCTGTAAAATGAGCTAAAACTAGAATCAAATGTGGTAGTGCTGCTGGAAAGGTTTTATTTGCATAACAGGTCACACCAAAGGATTTCATTCACAAACTCCAAAGGTAGCACCACCTTTCAAGACCCCATCATTCAATCAAGTTGTTGTAAAAAGTGATACTGTATTAATATTGATAGCGATCTACTTTTCATCATTTCTAAGGAGCTTTTTGCAGGTTTAGAAAAAAAAAATATGCGGTAACCTATCACCCCTCGATCTTCTTCTGCTACCAATGTGGAGACACAAAGCGTCAAGACTAAGATGGCTATTTAATAAAAAGACAACAATTTTCCATAGTCTATATAGACCAATGAAAGAATTACAGCATGTTCAAAACTCAAGTGGAACCATTAGCAAAAAGAGAGAATGGTGTCACTAAAAGATTTAACGTTCTGACGTCATTTCTATGGTCGCTAAGGATATGGGATATTACGTATTTGTTGTCCATTTGTTGTTTTACCATATTTTAACTTTGAATTAAAGTTTTTAACTTCCGTTTCTGGTTAAGTTTCCCGGAAAATGGCGCACGAGAGTGCCGAGAGACAGTCAAATAGCGTCATCATTGTGTCATTTCTCATAGAACACAGCTCTTGACCAATCAGAGAGCAGGAAATAGTCCAGTTTCGAGTTCACTATGACCGCTGAATTAAGGAAGTGAAGACGCATTTTTTACAGGCTTAGCCTCCATCTGAAGTAATATATTCACAAATTCCAACAAGAAAAAGACCTGTTTATTTCTCTGTCTATTGTGTATATTCAAATTTCAAACACTTACTTGCCGGAATTTCTGAATATTTTACTTTAAGTCGAGGCTAAGCCTGTATGAATGTGTCGTTAATGTTCGTATTCAGCGGTAATTTTCAATTCGAAACTGGACTATTGCTTATTTATTGTAAAATTAGGATATTTCTTTCTACCAGATAGTTTGCTGTGTTCTTCACTACTGGAATGGCTTCCTTCACTAGCGGATGACTTTTCATTTATGAAGCTGAATGACTCTATCTGATGTAACGCTATGGTTTAAACTACTTTCGCTTGACTCTATATTCGCCATTTCTGTGATCTACTTTAAATATTCTTTGATGCATAAGAGGTTTTTTTACCGCGGAAGATGAATGTACAAATAGCTTGAAAGTCTGTGACTCTGTGGCCTAGGACTTATGAAAAAAATCAGTGGAAAGAAATGATTAGAAAACGTGTGTGATGATTGTGACCCAAAAAGCGAGAATATTGCTTCATATGCCAGTTTGGTCTGTTATAATTTAAAAAAGCTGTCTTAGAACATAAGAAGTTTCCCATATGAAAACAGTTGCCCGAAATCGGAAGAGTTGCCCAAACGTTCCCGAACATCTTAGGGACAGCCCTATTGCAGACTCCTTGGAGATATATGTTCATATGTTCGTCTGTTGTACATACATGTTGAACAGGTTTTGCCAGACAGGAGTATATCGAATGGACATGACAAAAAATTAGACACTGGAAAGCATCGAGTCAATCACTATGCTAAGATTGTAAACGACAGGAAAAGCCAACAATACGAAATTCACTCATAGAGAGGACTTTGACTTCCAATATTTCTTACTTCTCTTTCAGCTTCGACAGCACCAGTAAACATAACTATGACAACAACAGATATTATCCTTACCGTGGCGTTCTCTGTGATTGTTTTGATCAATCTCATTGGTAATGGTTTGGTGTGCTTAGTGGTTTCGCGATTTCACGGCATGAAAGCACCACTAAATTACCTGCTGGTAAACCTCGCTGTGTCGGACATGATGGTGGCTCTTGCTATTACTCCACAGTACGTGGTCAAATGGGCATTTCACCACCCAAACGGCACTGCAGGAGACTACATGTGCAAATTCATTACTGGAGGAAACTTCATTTGGATTGGAGGAGGGGCGTCTGTCTTTTCTTTAGCAGCGATCGCAGTTGAGCGCTTACCTTACAGTTGTTCGTCCTCGTGGCGAGCTTCCAGGACGTAGAAATAGGCGTCGATTAACTGCTGCCATAATGGGTAGTTGGATTTATTCCCTAGTTTTCAACTTGCCTTTGTTCTTTGTTGCTCACTATGAAGATAGTAAATTTCATTGCATGGAGGATTGGCCGAATAAAACACTGGCTAAAGCATACACTGTTGGTGCCTTCTTCTTCTTCGGAGTAATTCCCATGGGAGTTATGGCAGCATTGTACTCGAAAATTCTCAGCAGGCTTTGGAAAAGAGGGGAGCGTACACCCTTGTTACTTACGACCGACCAAGCTAAACTCAAAAGAAAACTAAAGGTGACTAGAATGGTGGCAGTGATTAGCATCTTGTACACAGTATGTTGGTTACCAAATTTAGTACTATATATGCTGTCTCAGTTTGAGCCTGACCTTTATGCATACGGCTCAAACACCTACATTACCTCGGTTGTCCTTGTAGGTCTTAACTCTGCCACGAATCCTTTTATTTACACTCTTTGTAGCAGCAATTTTCGTCGAAACATCAGGGGAGCACTCAGCTTTGGCAAATCCATGCCACCCTTCATGCTTTACGAAAGATGATGTTTGTTCTCTTGTCTTCCCTCACACACAGACTAGAAAAGGGAATTAAAGAGTTACCACAAAAGATGGTTCAGGCGGCATAATGAAAAATATCAGCTGTCGTGGTTCATATATCGTTTGTTTCACCAGTCACTTTGTCATTAATTGAAGAGAGACAAACTAAAAACAGTATTGTTGTTCCAGCCTGGAAAATATCTAACTGTCATAACCGTTCATCAGTAAGATGCCTAAAATGTGTGCAACCACAACTGCAAGCGGTACTTTTAGTAACATCGTGGCTACTTGTTATTGGTTATTTACCTTGGTTTGGAATGATAACATCTTCACATTCCAATTTCATGAAACAACGAGAAGCAAATGCTCCAGCCGCTAGCCAGGGGCGTAGCCAGCTTTTCGACTAGTTGTAGGCCTGGCTGACTTTCATTTCCACACATCCTGAAAACTGCACACATGACTAGTTTATACCCACTGACCTCACCAACACTTTGAGCTCTTAAACTGTTTAGCTCACCCAAACAACACATTATTTAATACAAACGGTAGAGTGATAAAATCAAAAATTTGTAGGCCTGGGCCTAGAGCTCTATGGGTTGGCTACGCCCCTGCTAGCAATTGCAACAACTCAGTTGCCTGACAAAGCAACGACACATTTCTATCGACGCAACTTAGTCAACAATTTTAATTAAGACTTCTAAGACTAAGGAGCGTTTTTTTTGTTTTAGCCAGATGAAAATGCATGTAACAAGACACTGTAAATATATAGAAGTCATATATTTAAGTAAACAGCGTTGTATGACTTGGAAAAACCAGCGTTTGTCTTAACTTATATGTATGTGTGTTTCACGCATCCTCTGTCTGACGGACTGATGGAAGTCGGCCCATATGTAAAAATTACCTTAAAACGTGTTCCCCAGCGCGAACCCCATTGGTTACTTCGAGGACACATGAGTTCTAACAGCAAAACATTTTCCCGTCAAGTCTCAGAGCGGACAACATTGTAAAATCTATGACTTCATAGGGTAACAGTGCATTGTTACCGGTGAATGTTGACCGCTTGCTGAGATTTACTTAACTATACAGTCAGGGCAGGTCAAGCTAACCCTTAAGATTGCATTAATGAATTTATCCCTCGAGGGTTGAATCCGTTGGTAGTTGTAGATTTCAGTTTCATCTCTGCACTCCTGCGTACCTTCACACTCGAGATAGTCATGAGCTTTCTGCCAGCTCAGTTTTCTTGAATTTAATGTAAACGTCTTTGAAACAATTTTATCCATTCAAAGTTTTTCAATCATATCGAATACAGAGGAGTTATCGTGAAACATTCACTGTTCATTACGCATGCAGGAATGCAGATTTGACTTTGAGACTGGTTGCGGCAACGACTAATAGTTCAATTTTCAAATAATCGATTCATTAATGCAATCTTGTGGGGGATAGGCTTGACCTGCCTTGACTCTGCCTTGGGAAACATTGAAATTCTCGGGGAAAAAAATAAACTTTACTTCATGTTGCCGTCTGGATCAGTCATCAAGGGTTTATTTTAGGATTTTAGAGCTCTACAACGAATGCAAATCATGGCGGACGGAAGGCCAATCGGGTCTAGTTGCCCGTAAACGAGGCCACGTATAAGGCTCGTCGTAAGCCTAGATACAAATATCGCGATATTTTTTGAGATATTTAGAAGTTTTTGAGAAATTTAGAAAATGTTGAGAAATTTAGAAAAAAAAGCGATATTTAGAGCAATTATCACAAAAAAGATACTTCATAAGAACAAAAAAAAAAACGGTTTATATTAATTCCGTGTCCTTTTACGAGCCAGCGATACTACCAATTCAGCAGATTTATTCTGCAGTACAATAAGATTCACCATATACAAAGTACCTACCAATTAATTCGACTCCACGTGGAATCAATCAGTCATTATACATCTTTTGCTATTCAAATAATAATGTATATATATTTTTTTCATTTCTTTAATTGATATAAAGCCAAAAATGGGTCAAATTAACATTAGAAAAAAATGATATTTTTGAGAAATTTAGAAGATTTTTTAAGAAATTTAGACTAAATTCAAAAGAAATTTAGGAATTTTATGAGAATTTCTAGAAAGAAATTTAGAACATTCAGTTTGCGATATTTGTATCTAGGCCTAGCTCGTCGTAGACTGAAGAGTTCTTTATTGATGACGTCATAAAAAATAATTTTTGTGAAATTACCGGATTTGACGCCGGAAATACTCCAAAATAAAACATCTAAAAGGCCTAGTCTGGCTAAAGTAGCATTTCGGGGCAAATTTTCTCTGAGATTAGTTTCGCCTAGTTATGTTTGATGTGTTTTAATGACTCTATTGTTGGTTTTCACATGACGTCACCACTGGACGAAAAAATGGATTTACTAGGGTAGCCAAAATACAGCAAATGTGTAGCCAATACCACATTTGCACAATTTTGCGCAAGAGCAAAGACTGATATTGCACTAGATTTGCTATCCGTAGCAATGACGGTAAATGCCACATTTGCACAACATTTACATCTTGGTGCAAAGATAATGGGCAGCCATGGATTTGAGGGTCATTTGCAGATGGTTCAAATGTGTAGGCAAATATGTTTCTTTGAACTATATTTGCACATTACGCAAATGATGGCGCAAATCTGCTGTTTTGCACAGCTTTTGCTTTAGATGTAAAAGCATGTAAACCTGTTATTTTCAGAACGTTTACGCAGCTTTGCAAATGTGAGCGAAGTATCTAATTTGAACAATGTTTGCTTGGGTTATCATGGGTGATCAAATTTTCATAACTGAACCAGATTGCTTTGCATGGCAAATGTAACCACTCTTTGTATTAAACATGTGTGCTCACGAAGCAAATGTTAGCAAACCTAAACTTTGAACAAATTTTCTAGGGTGTGCAAATTTGATCAAACACAAAATTTTGCTTGTAGCGGCAAATGTGGTCAAAAGTCAAGTTTTGAACAAAGTTGCTTGGGCAGCAAATCTGATCAAACTGTTAGTATTGTACAATTTTTCGCTCAGGTAGCAAATGTAATCAAATTCTGACTTTAATTTGGTTAGCAAATGTCATCAAACCCATGAAATTGAGCATGTTTTCTCCAGTAGCAAATGTAAATTCCAAGGTTTAAACGAGTTTGCTTGGGTTGTAGCAAATGCGATAAAATTTTAAAAATATTTTTAATTATAATATGGCTCACTTCAGGTTCTTAACAAGTGGCCATAATTAATCAAACATTAAAGTTACTGAAAGAAATTCTAGCAGTGACCTCCCATTAATGTTCAAATGATTTATTCCATAAACCAAAGTGGCTTACACATTATTACAGACATTACAAACTACAGTATAAAGTTGTACATACAGCTCTTCATATTAATTCCCAATTTTACTGTTCGTTGATGTTTACTTGTCTCCACTCTATGCTCTATCAGATCATTACTAACTATTAATATTATAAGAAAAGTGTTCTTCATCTAAATGTGTAAGATATTCTACATACAGCTGTAGGTGTGTCAGAGTTGCCTCAAACCTATTTCAGTTCTTTAGGTTTTTGCAACTCAGAAACAGGTTAAAAATCCTTTCACCCTTGGACCAATATTTACTTATAACTAGACTATTTCTTACTTAAACTTTTGTATTTAAGGACCAAATCCTGTTTCAACTAAATGGAACCCTCAAGACACCCATTTTAATAAATAATTAGTATTTTTGTATTTATTGCTATTTACAGATTAAACAAAATTTGATTCTGGTGCCATTTTTTTCTTTAGGCTCTATTAGCATGAAAGGCCTAATTCTTGCTACCAATTTACAATTTTTGCTGGTATAACAACTGGGTTATAGCATTTAGCAAACTAAGAAATAGTTTAGGTACACATAGCTATTCAAATTCAGATCAGACTTCTTTAACTTCATTTTCGTTGCTAATGGTTCCTGTATAGTATTGGATATGCTCTTAGAGGAAGTACCAGCCGGAGCTTCTAGTACTTGCCCCGTTCTAAGAAAATTGAGGGTCATGAAAGTAATGACCAGCTATAAGTATTCCACAGCATGTCAACATTACCATTGTCACTGTAGTTGGTCCCAATGAAAGAAGCTAATAATTATTTTAAACTCAGTATACATGTACATGTAGTACAAAAGGTTGATCTGGCTAGCCTGCAAAATAACTACACTGCTGTCTCTCATTACTCTTTTTCTTGAGTCGTGTTGCAATCCTTTGCAAAATTCCGTAATAAATCATGACAAAAAGCAGGGTGTACCTAAATTTGTTTTGTTTTTTTGTTCAAGCAGGTCAGTTGCAATTGCTGTAATTGGTACACATGTACTGTGAAGTGGTGCCAGCAGAACTCAAATGCCTGCAGTTAAGCAAACAGATTTAAAAGAAACATTTGTACATCAATTGGCCTTTTTAACCTGCTGACTGGTACATTACTTGCAAACAATAGCCAAAGGATTCTAATGAAAAATTTATCACATCAACCAATTTGATCTACCTGCCACCAGAATTCTCAGGACAAATCAACACCATCAGGATTTGTACTGTTTACACAGATTTATCTTTTTCTAAAAAACAGTGTCATAAACAGAGAGTGATTAAAGGATTACTGTATTTGCAGAGCTACATGGACATGTACCTGTAAGTATGACCACTCATAAATAATCTGGAATTTCTTTAAGAGCCTTGGATTAACTTATATTTCCTTATCACAAAGCAAATTCAGGAGCATTATCTGGTGCCTCCTGCTCTGAGGAGAAGCCATTCGTCCTTTCTATTGTCATTGAGTAATGACAAGCTTACATGTGACTGTTTTAATTTTGCTTTACTGTTCAGTTTGGCAAAGAGGTTTTTACAGGCTAAGTTGTTGACTCCTCCATGCTAGAGGTCTCCTGCAAAGCACTTTTCTCGGATTTGTCATCTCCTTGGTCTGTACTGCCTTGCTCTGAAGACATGTACTCCACAATTATACAAGCTTTGAACTTACAACAATCCTTCTTCGAAATAGAGGTTGACTGGAAAAGGGTTGTCTCTTCAGCTTTTTCTGCAACAAACAGAAATTATACATAATTGAGACCATTAATATTGAAAATAAAGCTGTAGATGCTTGTCACGAAAAATACTATTGTCCTTTTCTGTCTAAATATTCTAGCCTTTTATAGCAAAAAAGGTTGCTATTAGATATTACATGTATTATTACTGGCTGCAGTCACACTAGGTGACTAAACTTACTTATTTCCTGAGTTAACTGATATCAAAATTAACTAGTTTAAACAAATTGCTGGCTCGTAACTTTCATGTCTCAAATCTGACCCCAAGCGGTCATCATAAT